CATGACCTGAGCCGAAGGCAGACACTTAACCATCTGAGCCACCCAGGGGTCCCAGATAAATAAATCCTTAAAAAAAAAAAGAGCACATATGGTCAATCAGTATTCTTGTTGCATTTATGTGAATAATTATAGCAAATTTAGCATAAACAAATTATCTTTGATAAAAAGGGGCGGCTTAATTATAGAAAAAGAAATTATGTTAGCACGTTTTTAATATTAGATTCTAATCCTATTAATTGCCTTAAGGTTTTGTTATATACCTATAACTGGACTGGGTTCTGAATTCTTCTGGTTTCCTCAAATATCTGGCTATAACTTTTCAAACTAATATTTCCAATTTTCTCCCACCTTTCCAGTTTAGAATCACTCAGGACAAAGACTATCCTTGAATCTCCTTGGAAAGGACTAGACCAGGTCTTCCTCACTAACCAGATGGCAGCTAAATTTCAGGGACTTGAACCTTGGATATGTATTTCACAGCTAAAGAAGTCTCCACCTGATATCTACCCTTCCACACCAGTTGAAATCTTCAAAATCAAATTGGGTAGAAAAAGAAGTAGCTGACATCAAGGTAGACTGCTTCCTCCCAAGACTCTGGATCAAGACTTCATACTTTAACTAAACATGAAACCCTTTCTTTTTCTCTTACTTTCCTTTACTCTGTCATCGGCCTGAAAAGATAATTACATCATCTGTATCTCCTAGGCAATTGCTAAAGAGGGCAATCCAACCTCCAAACAACTGTTGGACTTGCAAAATGCTTCTGCTTCAGTTTTCTCTAGAACAAACTCAGCCGTCTCACTATTGTGTCATACTGCCTAACCTGGAGGTCCATTTCCCTATCTCTGGTTAACAACTCCAAACCCAGGGGCGGTTGGGTGGCTCAGTCGTTAAGCATCTGCCTCCAGCTCAGGTCATGATCCCAGGGTCCTGGGTTCGAGCCCCGCATTGGGCTCCCTGCTCAGCGGAAGCCTGCTTCTCCCTCTCCCACTCCCCCTGCTTGTGTTCCCTCTCTTACTGTCTCTCTCTCTGTCAAATAAATAAATAAAATCTTTTTAAAAAGCAAACAAACAAAAAACAACTCCAAACCCAGGGAAGCTTTAGTCTAGGCTCTACGCAATGAAAGGGAAACAAGGGTGCCTGGGTGACTCAGACAGTTAAATGTTGGCCTTCGGCTCAGGTCATGTTCTCAGGGTCCTGGGATAGAGCCCTGTGTCAGGTTCCCTGCTCAACGGGGAATTTGCTTCTCCCTCTCCATCTCTAGCTGTCTGCTTGTGCTCTCTGTCTCTCTCTCAAATAAATAAAATCTTAAAAAAAAAAAAGGGAAACAAAGCAGGGGTATCCAGAATAAAACTACCTGTGTGGTCTATAGACCTTACATTTTCTTACCGATATGGCTGTACCAGAGGCCCTTGTGAATTAAAATTAGCTCCCTTTGACAGGTCCCCACTTCCCTGTTCAAGAATAAAGGTAAATAAGGCTATGATCAGGAACATCTCCTTGATTCTTGAAAATATTACAGAATCTTTTCCTAATGCCACAGCTATCTGACAAAAATCCTTGGACTCTCTGGCCAAAATTCTTGATTGTAGGCTAGCCCTTGATTATGTTTTAGCTGAACAAGGAGGTGTCTGTGCTGTAGCCAATACCACATGCTGCACCTGGATTAACACTTCTGGGGAAGTTGAAACTTAGTTATTTAAGGTCACTGAGCAAAGCACTTGGCTTAAAGAGGTGACTCCTTCAATGGGGTCTTTCTTTGAGTTATTTGATTTTAATTGGCTTGGGCCTTGGAGACTATGGCTTTGAAGTGCACTCCAGACATCAGTAATTATCCTGATTGTAATAATCATAGTAATCTCTTTGGTGTGCTGTATTCTCTCAAACGTTTTAAATGCATGTTTGCAGCTGCTAACCACCGAAAAAAGGATGTCCCTAAAACTGGAATGCCAGAAAAGGGTGAAGAAAATGACCAAATGAAAAATTGTGAGCCTGAAGTTGTGACCTGTGTCAGCAAAATTGTTGTGACCTCTGAGTACCACACAAAGAATCAACAAAAACTGAGAGAACTTGAGAGGTCGCTGGAAGTGGCACTAATGCCTTAAAATTTGGTCACATCTCTGCTTAGCTGAGAGTTTGATCAAAGGCGCTGGGGATTGTTAAGAAAGAGACAACCAAAATAGAGTCACTTATGCTATGTCCCACATCACCAAATTGAGACTTAATACCTAATCTAATTGCGGTTTCAGACTCTTCCAGGAACATAATCGTTAACCAGTTGATCTGGAATTACTTAGTCAGCACTAGTGTGGAAATCTGCCATTAGACCCCTTCCTTAGGAAAGCAAACTTGCCTGAAACAATGCCTTCTTTGCTAATAAACTTCCTTTTCTGAATTAAAAACCTTTCCTTTCCTATAGTTTTTTGGAGGTCCTTTCTATCTGCTAGGTGGGGTTCTTCCCAATTCATGAATCAATAAATAATGCCAATTCGATCTTTAAATTTACTCGGTTGAATTTTGTTGTTTAACACAAGTAATAGGAATCATTGTATTCCCCAAAATATCTGTTAAGAGCATTACAATAGGGGTGCCTGGCTGGCTCATTCGGAAGAGCATGCGATTCTTGGTCTCAGGGTTGTGAGTTCGAGCCCTACGCTGGGTGAAGAGATTACTTAAAAATAAAAAAAAAATTTTTTTAAAAACCATTATGACAGAACTCTTTCCTTAAAGCACTTAACTTTTATTTTTTTTAAATTTTTTTTAAAGGATTTTATTTATTCATTTGAGACATAGAGATACAGAGAGAAGAGAAAGCATGAGCAGGGAGAGAGGCAGAGGGAGAGGGAGAAGCAGGCTCCTTGCTGAGCCAGGAGCCTGATGTGGGGCTCGATCCCAGGACCCTGGGATCATGACCTGAGCCGAAGGCAGACGCTTAACCATCTGAGCCACCCAGGTGCCCCAGCACTTAACTTTTAAATCAAAATAACTTGTTATGGTACTTTGCCAGAGAAATCTGCCAAGGAAAGAATAGTTAAGCATATGTAAATTTTTAAAAATCTTATTTATTTATTAGAGAGAGATGGAGTGAGAGAGAGAGAGCGCACGTGCGTGAGCACACTGAGCTGGGAAGGGAGGGAGAAGCAAGCTCCCCGCTCAGCAGGGAGCCCGAAGCAGGACTCCATCCCAGAACCCTGGGACCATGACTTGAGCCGAAGGTACACACTCAACTCACTCAGCCACCCAGGCACCCCAAGTACGTGTAAATTAATACCTAATTTTGCACTAAAATATCATAGTGCTTAATTTCCATTCTAGGTACATAAAATCTATGTTGCTCTCACTTCTCTACATGGGAATAATTACCTATTTTTTCTTTTATTATCATTCCTATTATTTTAGAAACATGGGATGCCTGGGTGGCTCACTTGGTTAAGTGTCTGCCTTCAGCTCAGGGTATGATCCTGGGGTGTCCTGGGATTGAGCCCCACGTTGGGCTCCCTGCTCAGCAGAGAGTCTGCTTCTCCCTCTCCCCCGACTGCTCATGCTCTTTCTCTCTCTCTCTGCCTCTCTCTCTCTCAAATAAATAAAGTCTTAAAAAAGAAAAATAAAAAAAGAAAGCTGCCAGACTGATAGTGGTCTCTAAATCATGTGACTCCACTCATTGGCCAAAGAAGTCACCAGGTGTTTGTTTTTCTGTAGCCTCAGATTTAGAAGGAACCTCAGAGGTCACTGAATGTAACCCATTGAAGTAGTCAGTAATTTAGTTTCTGCTTCAGTGCTTCCAGTGTCAATACCTCAGTTCAAGGCAGTTTATCTCATTGTTGTAGTTTTGTCCAATTATTGTAGTTTAACTATTGGAATGTCTCTATATAGTGCAGAAATCCATTTTCCTGTAACTTGAGCTAGTGCTGCCCTCTAGCGCTGCACAAAATAACAAATTCACTTCCTCTTCCCAGGATTTTTTTTTTTTAAAACAGTTTCGGTCCCCTGAGATTTCCACAGGCTCAAACATCTACAATTTCTGCAATAATGCTTCACATAACATGATTTAAATCTCCTCGCAAATTTAGTTGATTTCCCTTGTTTCAATCCGGTTTGTCAGTTAGTATATGGTGGCAGATACTAACGCAAAACTCATTGTTTCTTCTCTTATACTGGATGTTCTATTGATACCCATAGTAACAGGGTTCTTAGTTGAATGGGACTAACTCTGGTTGCCTTAAGAATGGAAGGAATTTATTGAAAGTCACTTGGGTGGCTCAAGAAACAGCTACAGACTCTAGAGAACCAGGCTCAAGAAAAAGGACAGGAACCAAGAATGGCTAGAAATTCAGAATTGTGGGGTGCTTGGGTGGCTTAGTTGGTTAAGCAACTGCCATTGGCTTGGGTCGTGATCCCAGAGTCCTGGGGTCGAGTCCCGCATCAGGCTCCCTGCTCAGCGGGGATTCTGCTTATCCCTCTCCCTCTGCCTCCTGTTCTGTCTGTTTGTGCGCGCTCGCTCTCTCTCTGTCAAATAAATAAATTAGAAAATCTTTACAAAAAAAAAAGGAATTCAGAATTGTCACTAAAATCATACCTCAAAATTAATCCGATGAGGCCACCAGGGCCATATGCTGATGCTGGAATCATACCACTACCATTGTTGGCCCTAGGGATTGGCTGTTGTGGCCAGAATGAAATCCACACTGGCCCAGCTTCTGTGTTGTACAAATACCAGCTTCCATGCAGGCCAAGTCTAGGTCATATGTTTTCGCTCAGTTTCTTGGAAATTTTCTTGGTTTGTAATGGGAGACAGGCTCTGCCTCTCAATAAGATTCTAATGGTGAGATGTTCACAAAAATAGGAAAGGACTTCATTTGCCGAGCAGCTGACTAATGTTTTAAAAGCCGCATTTTAGCTTCTGTGTGGTGACTAGACCAAGAGCCATGGCAGAACAACGAAGACTGGTTAGGAAGCTAGTCCAATAATCAGGGTAAGAAATGATGTTGGCATGAATCAAGATGGTCATGGTGGAGGTGGAGACAAGTGGTGAGATTCTGGATATATTCTGAAGGTAGAGCTCACAACATTTGCTGCTGGACTGGATATAGGGCGTGATAGTGAAGAATGACTTGGAATGCTTGGTCCTGAGCAAAGAGAGACTAGAGTGGCCATGCAAACCATAAAACAGACTCTTAATTAATAGAGAAAAAAACTGAGGGTTGCTGGAGGGGAGATGGGAGGGGCGGTTGGGTTAGATGGGGGATGGGGATTAAGGAGGGCACTTGTGATGAGCACTTGTTGTATGTAAGTGATGAATCATGGCATTCTACACCTGAAACTAATATTACACTGCATGTTAACCAACTGGAATTTAAATAACTAAAAAAAGGAAAAGAATGGAATTGCCATTTACTGAAATGGGGCAGAACGTGGCAAGAGCAGGTTTTGTGAGGGAAGATAAGAATTTGGTCTTGAAAAATTAAGTTTGTGATGACCGTTGTATATCTGAGTAGATATGTTGAGTAGGTATATCAGTCATACAAACTTTTGGTATAGAGGTCTGAGCTAGAGACTCAAGGGAAACATCTCTATAGCTGCTTTTGAAAACCATGAGACTGGATGAGATCACAAGGCAGTATACGTAAATACAGAAACAGTATAGATCGGGCTCTTGTTCCAGTGTTTAAAGCAGTGGGTCTCAAAGTATGGTCCCTAGACCAGTAACATCACCATCACATGGGAACTTGTTAGAAATACACACTTTTCTTCCCTATTTCTGACCTACTGAATCAGAATCTCCGGGGGTGGAGCCCAGCTAACTGAGTTTTGATAAGGTCACTCCAACGCACCAGTGGTTTAGAGGACAGGGAGGGGCTAGAAAAGAAAACAGAAATGGAGCAGCCAGTAAGGTACACGGAAACCCAGGAAAGAAAGGTCTTAGTGATGTAGATTTGGAATGTTAGGTGAGGTTTGGTAGGGTGAGGTCCGGAGCTGATGGCCAAGAAACAATTCTTAAGACGTCTTTGGTGCAAAATGGTGGTTTTATTTAAAGCATGGGGACAGGACCTGCTGGCAGAAGGAGCTGCACTCGGGTTGTGAGGAGCTATTAATTACATACTATGCGGATGGGGGAGGTAAGGAAAAAGGGAGGTGTCCAAAAGGACTTTCATATGCTAAAGAAGACCCTCAGGATACTGGAGACCTGGCTATTATCAAGCTAAGGTTGTTTTTCCCTCTAGCGAAGTATTAACATTAAGTTTGTTGGAAGTTTCCTGGAGGAATGTCCCAGAGATCCCACCCAGAGTGTGTTTGGGGGTGTGGGGGGGGAGGTTGCTTGTGCTTTGTCCTCAGCTAGACTTCTGCTCCTTCATCATTAAGAGTCAAGAGAAGAAAACATTTCAAGGAGGAAAAAGTAATCAATTCTATCAAATCCTGTGGGTGTATCAAATAAATTAACCAGTTCAGTCTTTTGGGAGGATAAACTATACTTCACACTCTTGACCCTCACTTGATTCTTCTAAAAAATCCTCCTTTTCATTTAACCTAGTTGGAGTAGACTTTTGTTATTTCCAACTGAAAGATCCTTGACTAGAAAATACCCAATTGTTCTACAATTGATTTAGAGAAACAACATTCTGAACTGTACATTAATCTTTATGTAGCAGGGGAACTCTGTTTGAACTAAGCCTATTTGAAGATTTATTTATTTATTTATTTATTTGACAGAGAGAGAGAGAGAGGGAACACAAGCAGGGGGAGTGGGAGAGGGAGAAGCAGGCTTCCGCTGAGCAGAGAGCCTGATGCGGGGCTCGATCCCAGGACCTGATCCCAGGACCCGATCCCAGGACCCCAGGATCATGACCTGAGCCAAAGGCAGATGCTTAACGACTGAGCCCACCCAGGCGCCCCAAACCTAAGCCTATTTGAATGCAAGCAGAGAATTCTTCCTAAGAAAAATTATGTAAGGCCAAACTCATTAAATAACAAAATGTGGTCAGAGGAGAGAAGCAATTTTATGCAAAGCAATGTTATATAAGAGCTCTCTCTTGCTCACTCGCTCTCTCTCTCTCTCAAAGTTGTCTCCTGGCCCAATTTCTACTAGACTCAATTCTGAAATCTAAGGAGGGAGGGGACTGCAAATTTAAAAACACAACAAAACAAACCCCAAATTAACAACAACAAAAATGTTCCAGTAAAACTTTTTAGGACATTGGGATCTAGAAGCATCACTTTGGTGTCCCTCTAATAGAAGTGACCCAGAAGGAGAGACAGAAGTTCTCTACGTCAGCGTGTGGCTTTTGACTTCTTAGGGGCTCCAATTCCTTATTTGTACCAGGAGCTGATGGAGCTTAAAGTAGATGGTGGTACCAAAAAAAGGAGTCCAGAGGAAGGTAAAAGGAAAGGAATAGCAGGTTCTGTATGGCAGCTCACTGGATTGTTTGTGATTACATTTATGAAAGATCCCCCCCACCACAACTCACTGAGGAAATATTAGGGGAAACATATTTCAGGGAGCTGGATATACTACAAGATTATAGGGAAACAGAAATTATTGAAATTTGAATTATTACTCTTAATGTACTACTACAGATAGCCACAGACTGAAGATGAGGCTTGGGAAAACTTGTGTGATACATAGGAAATTTTTCATGTATTAAGATTCACATTTTTAGAACATTTTTCCCCTCCCATTCAAGACTATTCTTCTAATTAGAATTTATCTTAATTTCATCTTTTCATCATTTCTTATTCTCTTTATTTTTTTATTTTTTTATTATTTTTTTTATTTGACAGAGAGAGACATAGCAAGAGAGGGGACACAAGCAGGGGGAGTGGGAGAGGGAGAAGCAGGCTCCCCTCTTAGCAGGGAGCCTGATGCGTGGCTCGATCCCAGGACCCTGGGATCATGACCTGAGCCGAAGGCAGATGCCTAACGACTGAGCCACCCAGGCGCCCCTTATTCTCTTTATTTTTAATGCCTCTCTTTCCCATAGCCTGTAAGTATGTTTAATTAAATCTTTCCCATTAAAAATGCCCACTGTATAGGAGCTTGGCCAACTCAGTTGGTAGAACATGTGACTCTTGATCTTGGGGTCATGAGTTCAAGCCCCAAATTTGGAGTAGGGATTATTTAAAAAAAAAAAAAAAATCCAAAACCCCACTGTATTCTACCTTGTGAAAGTAGTGGTTAAAAGCATGAATTCTAAAGCCAGACTGCCTGGGGTTGAAAACTCCACTGTTTACTAGTTTTTTGTCCCTGGGAAAATTTTAAATGCTCTGTGCCTTCATTTCCTTACATGTATAAAGGAAATAATACTAGTTCTTACTTTATGGGTTTATTGTGAGTATTAAGTGAATGGATATTTGTAAAGCTCTTAGAACAGTGCCCAGCAGATGGTAAATGTTGTATGTGTTCATTAAATAAAAATTAACTAATTGATTAATCCTCAACTTACGGCCTATTAAAAGTCTGTAAAAGGTTAGAAAAACAACCAACCAACTCTTAATTACTAAATTTAAGGAATTCTGTGGTTCTTTTTTTTTTTAAGATTTATTTATTTATTTGATAGAGAGAGACACAGCGAGAGAGGGAACACAAGCAGGGGGGAGTGGGAGAGGGAGAAGCAGGCTTCCTGCAGAGCAGGGAGCCAATATGGGGCTCAATCCCAAGACCCTGGAATCATGACCTGAGCCGAAGGCAGCCGCCTAACCGACTGAGCCACCCAGGTGCCCCAGAATTCTGCAGTTCTTCGCTAACTTGATTATTCAGCAATACTTGCTTTGGGGGACCACTAAGTTCCCCTTAGAATGTTCCCTTTATTTCCTGGATGCTTCTTTCCTGGTTCTTCCCATAGCTCTCTGATATTTTCTACTCAATTTCCTTTGTAATTTCCTTGGGATTCTGTCTTTGGTCCTCTTCCCTTCTTACTCTATAATTCAATAAATCTGATATTTAAAAAAATGCTCCATACCCACTGCATTAAAGTCCCTCCATAATCTATTCTCTGCTGATCTCTTCAGATTCATCTTTCAGTACCACACCACATGAAATGGCTTCAACTTTTCAAAGTGCTGGTAGGGCTGCTTCCCCCAAGAGGAAGTCCCATTCCCACCCCTAAAATTACTCCCTAATTTTTCAAGTCTTAAATGAATTTTTTCTTGATACCGTAGGTGATTTTCTCCTGTAAGTCTCATATATATTTTATAGATAACAGTATCATCAGAGCCTAACACAGTGAACAGCTCAGTATTTACTGACAGACTGAATTATAGCATCTAAATTAATATTTTACATGTATTTATTGTCTTCACCAACTGTATATGCCTTGAGAAAAAGATGTATTAATCATTAGGTTCCTTGTGCTAAATAATGACTTAAATACAACAAATAGTTAAATAATTTACATTTTACAATCTCTTCAGATGTTTATGTTGTGATTTCTGTAACAACTTAAGTTTTAGCTCTCAAAATTTATTAATTTGATTTTTATTTCCTCTGAAGAACCAGGGATACCCAGGAGTCTTCTAACGTTTAGAAATAGTGTATACTGAGCAGTATTAAGGTGGTAAGAGGAATGATTATATTTTTTCCTTAAGAAATGTCATGGACACATCTTTAGGGAAGTCCTCAAAAAGTATGTGGTGCTGCAAGCTTGTGGGTGGGCGCTAACTGCTAGATTTGTGGTAGATCTTCAAATTTGAGGGAAGCAGAGAACCAGTCTATCACATCAAGAATGTAAGGTTATACTCACCAAGAATGCCAACAGCAAAGAAGACAAATCGTTTTTTCTTTGTTACAAAAGGAGAGGGTCAAGAAGTCACAGAAGAAAAAAAAAGTTCCAACTGACTGGGTGGCAGACGCACCAGTTTCCAGAAAGCGCGGGAAAGAAATGGGCGGGTCTTTTTTTTTTTTGATGAGCCAAGTTTCTGATAGGATGTCTGTGGAGGGGTAACTGCTAAGCTCCTCCCCCTGAGCCTTAGCGACATTGTGATTGGGTGACAAGTTTAGCCAGACCCCTAGGGGGAGCACTGAGCAGGCGCAATAC